TGTGTATGTGTGTGTGTGTGAAGAAGTAAATAGATAGATTGACAAATAGAGAGTAAACATGAATAATGTATAATAAGAAATGAAGTCTGTGTGTTTGTGTTTGTGTGAGTGTATATGTGAGAGATAGATAGATAGATAGATAGATAGATAGATAGAGAGAGAGAGAGAGAGAGAGAGAGAGAGATGGAGCGAAGGAGTCCTATCAAAGATTGGAAAGTGAAAAGTCCTTTATGAAAAGCTTGTAGTTTATGAAAGAATGTGAAAAATCAGATGAAATATACAAAAAAGAAGACGACGATAAAGAAAGATTAAAAGAAAAACTGGGCAAAAATACGCATGCGCATAACCCAAATAACATTTTCCCTCCAAAAATGGAGGAGAGAAGTGTGGTAGCCATAGAACTTAGACTAAGCATCAACACTGCAAAACAACAACAGCAATAACAACAAGAAATGCGAGAGAGGTGTACAAAAGAAAGGGAAGAAGAAAGAGACACAAGAGAGAGTGGGGTGATAAAACGATAGAAAGAGAGAAAAAAGAAATAGAAGTGGCAGAATTGAGCAAGATACAACGACGACTGGCGTCGGCCGTGTAATCACCCTCCTGATTAGATGAACAGAAAAGCGGTCAGTGTGAAATTGGCGACGTGTTACGTGAGTACCCTGCTAAAACGTCACCGACGACGATGTCACCGAATCAAACTAGAAAACCGCGCGGACGCACTCAATATACCAAAAACGCGCCACTTGCTTCGTCAGCGCCCCACGCCACCCTACCTTACCACACCCGCAGCCGTCCTTACCCTCACCAGCCTTCTTGTCCGACCATCCGTCCAACTACCTTGGCACTCACGTTCCTTTCTCCTCTACACGCTGCCACCACTGGTTCTACTGCCATCTCAACGTATTTAATTGGCATGAATGTTTCAATTTGCGATTTCGCAAGGAATAAGCCATCTTTGGCTTGCTGTTACACCCTTCATTGACTTCTCATCGGCGCCTTTCTCAAGGAAGTAGTTTCCGGAAGTTAGCGAGGCCACGCTTGCGCAGATCGGAGATTAATTGACTTGAAGATTTCAATTTGGGATCCGAGAGAAGGGTGGCACGGCCGCGGTGCCAACGCCCGCCATCTTGTTATCCTCTTCATTAGGTCTCCCATCATGGGCGCGCACCACTATATATCAGGGAGGTACTACTTTCCGGAAGTTAACCACGCTATCCGTGTGTGGATCGACTTCTAATTTGCTGGGATCTTTGACAGTTTAGCGGAAGTGGGTAATATATATATATATATATATATATATATATATATATATATATATATATATATATATATATATATATATATATAAAATAGAAATAGAGCTGAACTGAATACGAAAAAAAAAAAGTGGTGTGTTATGAGTCAATGTGCTTATGTGTATATGTTATGTATACGTGCAGTGAGGAGATGTTAAAAAGAAGGAAAAATAGGTAAAAGATTTACTAATTGAAATAGAGAAGAATTCACTAGAGAACTACAGAGATAAAGCCATTATAAAATGGCTGCTATGCCACACACTGGCTACAATTCATTTGTTGCAAGTACGAGGACAAAGAAAGATTTTTGAAAGAATCTGATAAGAAAAGAAAAAAAGAATTTGTTCGTTAGCTTCTACACATGCGCAACTCAATATGTGCGTAAAGATTTAAATTTCATTCCTCGTGTAAACGCTAAAGCTTTTCCCGTTCCTCATCTTTCGGTCTGTGTGTGTGAATTAGAAAAATTTGCAGTTTTAAATAAAAACAAAAAATTCCATAGCGATAGAAAGGCCTATAGGGTTTTTGTTTTGTTTTAGAAAACTGCTTTCAGATAAAGAAATTTTCTTATGCATCGGGAGATGACGATTATTTCTGTCTAACGAGGTCATGTTTATTTTTGTAACATAATTCTTTGGAGCGAGTGTCTTTATCTTTGTTGTTGATATTACTATGTTTTTGGGGGTTTGTACTTTATTCGAGGTCTGCCAAAAATCAGTAATCGTCTTATGAGTTGGAACGGAGTTATTTATTTGATCTACGTGGAGTGTTTTTGCTCTACTTTCTTATCTGTCTCGTCTGATGCCCTTACGATAGAATTTCGGAACTCTTTTCAATACTCTCCCGTTTCTCCATTTAGCCAGTGGATTACCTGATCCGGGGATTGAACTCGTGACTTGCTGGGAGCAACATGTGATTTCCAACGGTTTTATCTACTATGCCATACACGTATGACAATTTTTGTTTTAAACCTTAAATCTAAACTATTCCTTTCTTGAATTTTGTTAATTATATTTCAGCGTGTTTTTTTTTTATTTCTAAGTTTTTCATATTTTTTCAAATCAAAGAGATCGCCATAAAAGTTGGTGAGAGGCCTAAACCAGATATTAATATCGGTCCCGGTACGATGTCCGAAGTTAAGCAATGTCGAGCCTGGTCAGTACCGAGATGGGTGACCGTTTGTGAATACCAAGTGCTGTATGCTTGTATATCGGGGCGGTATAATGGATAATGGCTCGAAATTGTTAACTGGAGTACTGAGTTCCAATTTCGCTTAGGTTCGTTATATTAAAAAAAAATACGCTTGGAAAAATATGAATCCACTTTCTCTCCACCCAGCTAGGGATTAATTAGTAAGACGTGTAACACTAAATTATCTAAATAAATAAAAAATAAAAGAAGAATTCATACACTCTAAAAATATTTTCTGGCTTTAAATAACTTACAAAGGGTTGATAAACCGTAGAAAACGAAACACTCTAAACCAGATATTAAGATTTCTGGTTTTTTATTTTAAGATTTTTTTATCTGATGCTCTCATAAAATGAACATTTTTTTTTAGATATATTATCTCACAGTAAAAGAAAGCAAGAAGAACGGACTAAACATCAATTGCAAAAAGACAGAATGTATGGTTGCCAGTAACAACCTTCGAATTACAACTTGTAGATCCGCAAATCAAACAAGTATAAAGATTTAATTATCTAGGAAGTGTTTTAACAGAGAACGGAAAATGCGACAACGAAATTCGAAGGATAATGAAAAATGCCTTCTGAAAGCTAAGCAAAAAAAAAGTAGTTAAAAACAAAGAAAAGTACTCAACTGTTATGTAATATCAGTCCTCCTATGTGGCAGTGAATGATGAACAATTTTATAACAGATGAAGAAGATATCTGAGGCAACAGAAAGCTAGTTCTACAGAAGGATGCTGAGGATATCATGGACATAACATGTGAGCAACGACGAGGTTTTATAGAAAATGAAAACAAAAGGCACATTTAACATCAGAAAGAGATAGTTGAAATTTCTAGGGCACATAATAAGGAAAAGGGGCTTAGAAAATTTGATACTCACAGGACAAATTGAAGGCAAGAGGGACGGAAGAAAGCAGTGTATAACCTACTTAAAGAGCTTGTGGAAATGGTTGGCAGAAAAGTGATTAGGAGAGCGAGTAAAAAGATAAACTTTGTTCAGAGCTACAAAGGTCAGGAAATAGCGGAGAGCCATGAATAGAAACGTCACATAGAAGATAATCCTACAGTAAACATTTGATTTGATCTTAAATAGATTTAAAAAAAAATGTTCACTTATATTTATTTTCTGGAAAGAGATATACAAACTTTTTTTTACGTATATATACTTATATAAAAGTTTTATAAGCTAATGTTTCGAAAAAAAACAGCTTTATTAACACCGTAAATATTAAAACACTGAAGGCAAAATAATTAGCAAAAAAAACAAAACAAAAAAAAACGTAATAAATGCATACAACACAACACGTTCTTATAAATGAAAATACAACAAAAGAAAAGAACATTGTCCACAAGTCAATATTATGTGTACATAAGACTTGAAGAAAATGTGACCAATTCCATGTAGGTACCCCCCCCCCACACCCACAAAAGAAAAAGAGAAAAAGTGAAGTTTTTTGATAATTTTAAAAATTAATGAGAGTAATGGTTTTAGACAAATTATACAGTTCAGTTCAAGGGCAGTGTTATACGTTTAGGTTAAATGTTTAGTATTATGTTTAGGTTAATGTTTAGTGTTATATGTTTAGGTTAAATATATAGTGTTACATGCTTAGGTCAAATGTTTAGTGTTATATGTTTAGGGTAAATGTTTAGTTTTAATTATATGTTTAGGTTAAATGTTTAGTATTATATGTTTAGGTTAAATGTTTAGTGTTATATGTTTAGGTTGAATGTTTAGTGTTATATGTTTAGGTTAAATATATAGTGTTACATGCTTAGGTCAAATGTTTAGTGTTATATGTTTAGGGTAAATGTTTAGTTTTAATTATATGTTTAGGTTAAATGTTTAGTATTATATGTTTATGTTAAATTTTTAGTGTTATATGTTTAGGTTAAATGTTTAGTATTATATGTTTAGGTTAAATATATAGTGCTACATGCTTACGTCAAATGTTTAGTGTTATATGTTTAGGGTAAATGTTTAGTATTAATTATATGTTTAGTTTAAACATTTAGTAATATATGTTTAGGGTAAATGTTTAGTATTATATGTTTAGGTTGAATGTTTAGTGTTATATGTTTAGGTTAAACAGAGCACTTTGCTCTTCTGTTTAGTTTTCAATTTCAACCAAAGGTTAGGTGGGAGGTTAAACCCCCACCCCTATAGCGCCTTGGATGAAAACGCTTGAAATGTCACAATCTTTTTTATTGACTTACACTAGTTTTATTAATTGCAATATTATACGAATTTCCAATATGAACTATTTATAATTATTATTTGGTTAATATTTATTTTATCTTATCTTTGTTGTTTTCTTTCACAAATCCTAGATCGATATTCTACGATCGTTGGTAAACAGCAAGGATCAGAAATGTAAATACCCATTAAGATTCGAATTTGCTTCTTTTAGCCCTAGTAGCCTGTATTTCCATGGCAGCTGCCTTGCCAATTAAACCATGAAGAACAACTAATTCCAGCTTTTTAAATCTGGTCATTACAAACAATGATTTTTACCAAATAACAGAAACCACATCAGCATCAACAACTAAAATTAGTAACACATGTAACTCGAAGAGAAAATAAAGGCATAATCAAGATGTTGACATTCCACATTACTACAAACAAAAGGTTAGGAAGGAAACAACTATTAATACTAGAAAGAGTGGTAACAGTTACTAGACTTGAGAAACATTTTTTCTTGAAAAATTGTTTTAAGAGAAAGATTTTATAAATTTTAACCGACAGTAACGCGAAATGAATGCCGAATGTTTCCTTATAAGGAAAAGGTTATTCGCCTCATGACCATATATTTTAAATACCTGATACGCCGCCATTTTCTTTGTTTGTTGGTGAATCGTGCAAAATTTTTAATGGTCCGCAGAAAAATTGGGACATTATTTCAATTTTTATTTTTATAAAGCTTCAGATTAAAAAATGACGAGTAGCCAAACGTATTATGTATGGTATATATATATATGTTAAAGGCCTTATGTAATCTCGAATTAAACACAAGTACACAAATATGACATCATCCAGCCATATTATAACTTAACATGACTTGCAAACTTCAAATTTTCAATTTCTTTTATTTAAATAATTACACTTTAACTTACACTATAACTTTAACGGGTGCATTTCATATTAATAAAATAAAAGTTTTCCGATTATTATTATTATATAAATATATTTACCTTTTTTTTTTTCTAAATTCATATTAGTGGTCCACCAAATTTAAAATTATATATTTAGTGGTTCATGAAGTTCAAAGGGTTGGCGACCGCTGCTTTAGAGGAAGCATAATAAGTTATTAATACTTTTTGTAGCTTTTTTCCACTTATTTTCCCCTTCATGCGTCGCCGTCTTTCTTGTGTACACACAAATAGTATTAATTGCAATATTATTCCAGTTTTCGACACGAAGAAAAATATTAGGGTTTCATAAATTTGTTACACATCCACGAAAAGAAGGCTTGTTTTAACCTTGGCCCAAAAGGAAACGCTGACGAAATACCATTAACATTTGATGTACCCCCCCCCCCCCGCCCAAACAATAGACTAAAAACATTTTTCTTGAACATATTCTGCTGGGGGTGCTTTTTCATTGTCGCCCAAAAATTGTGTCCTTATGCCACAAGTTAAACATTACCTCGCACTATCCGTCCTGTCAACTGTATATTGGCAGTTTTTCAAAAGTATTCGTTGGATTTAGCATGGATAAATGATATTTGAAAATAAAGCAGTTATTTTTCGCCAGTTTATACAGGTGTTGATAAGAATTTATTGGAATTCATACTTTACAACCATTCGATTTTGGATTCGGAAAAGCAATTTTTAGACTCTTTCAGCTGATATTCCTTGTGCAGGTTCGAGTATTAGTATACGAAGCAGTTCAAAATGACAGGGTAATCTCCTTACAGGCTAAAAAGAGACTATGAGGCAACAGAAATGAGTTTCTACGGAAAGAAGTTGAAGATACAATGGACTGAACATGTGCGTAATGTCGAAGTTGTAGAGGAAATGGTGACAAAACGGACACTTATAACTAGAATCAGAAAGAAACATCTGAAATTTCTAGGGCTTAGAAAATTTGATGCTTATGGGATATATATTGAAAGTAAGAGGGACGTAGAACTACATGGAACAGGGAATTGTGGAGATCCATCATAACTCATATCATTTTTCAGAAGAAGAAGTAGAAGAAGAAGAAGGAGGAGGAGGAGGAGGAGAAGAAGAAGAAGAAGAAGAAGAAGAAGAAGAAACTACAGATTTGTTCTACAAGATATGCTTGATAACCATTCTTTCATTAATAGCATCATTCTTTATTTCTCGAACTTATTATTCTGACACAAGGCCTTAGTAATGGAGTGCCCAGTGTATTGTTTATGAGTGTTAGTTTTATTCACTTATGAAATGTTTAATTTATTTTATTGTTATAGTATTTTAAATTTTATTAGCAAGTACCTAAAAAAATAAAAAATATTAGATTGCTGAAAGTGTTTGTTAATTTTAAAAAATACTGGATAGTAAAATAAGTTAGTTCACTTAAAATTCGAAAAAAATTATTTCACATCTGTTCTTCCGCCCGATAAATTCCCTTGACGTAAGCTGTCACTACATCGATGCAACAAGTCATTTAACACCTCAAAAACAAGTCACCGCGGTTAAGATATGCTTTTCTTATTTTTAACTACATTTTTTCTGCTGAAAAATGAAGTAATGTTTGTTTTACATTATTTTTTGTTTTTACATTGTTTAATGTTTTAGATTAAGTAAACTTTAAATTTTCTAATTTTCATTAAATAACTTTTGAAAAAAGTACATTTTATTTTTGCAAGATTTTTAAATTTGTTTACAAATTTCTCAAAAATGTCGGACATCATCGATTTTACTGAAAATAAAAAGACAATTTTTTTCCAATTAATATAAATCTGGTTTTAAATACACCAAAGTATTTTTCTTACTGGTTATAGTAAATTTATTCCTTTACCTTTGAGGTAAATCTAAAAAGG